CAGATTTTCCATTTAAGTGTGGAAGTGGTTGATTAGTGATAGGGAATACACAGCCAGCATTTTATCGGGAAAGACGGTGCTCAAGGCTCAAGCTACGACGAGTGGCATAAAACTTGCTAGAACGAACAGTGATTCTAAATCATTGAACGTCTATAATTCATAGACGACACCGGCTATAAAGTCAATGTTATACATAACATACTAAATTGGGAAGATCTTCGAGCACCTCATGCCGCTCTAAAACACTGTTTGACATACAATGAATGACATTGCCAAACTAATGAACGCCCTCTGAAGGCGTGGCAAATCAAATAAAAAGCCCAGCTGATATCACAGTACAGCTCTCCCACCGGCACAACTATTGACCGGCTCTCCATCCAACCAACTGCAGCCCCATAAATAAATACATTTGTTTATAGAGCTGAAACAGAATATAATTGACATTCATTCGAATCGGGCCCGACTATGATTAAATGAGTACAAACAGTTGAATGTTGGTTGACATTTAGCTTTATATTCATTTATTTATTTATTTGTAATTAATTCATTAGTTTTTATTTATTCTTAGACCCTTGATATCCTCAGAAGTGTGTGTGGTTTATTTTATAATTCAACTTAATACGCTTAAAATATATATTTATATATATTATTAATTATTACATATACATACATATATAATCATTATTATTAGTATTATTATTATTATTATTATTATTATTAGTATTATTATTATATTGTATGCATATTCGCTTGCTGTAATATAATGCCATATATAATTGTTCTTCTATATATATATATATATTTATATATATATGAATATGTATATATACACATATATATCTATATATATATATATTCATATTCATATAATTATATATATATATATATATATATAATCATATGCTTAGTTATAAATTGTCTGCTTTGACTTCTTTCCTTCACGCGTTTTTAGTCGTTTCTTAGCTCATTTCAGCGTTCATTTTCGGGATCTTACGGGACTTTTTCACTAGGTTTACAAAAAAAAAAAAAAATTGTATTTTTACTTTACTTTAAGTAGAATTTGTCCTACAATATTTTTTTTAAATATTATTTTCTATTTTTGTTTTCTTTCTTTTTTTCTTTTGTGAAATACATAGTTGATATTCTACAAACTTTAAGTTTTCATTTTTTTTTTTTTTTTGAGTGTGGTATTTTGTTTTTGTTTTTTTTTTTTTTTTTTTTTTTTTTGTCTAGTAAATATAATTTGTTCCTTTTCTGTAATAATAATATGAACTGTTTTTTTTTTCTTTACTTTATTTTGTATTTAGTTTATTTATCGGTTTTTTATTATATCTCATAAATTCTTGTTGTTGCTAAATTTTGTTTTCATTTTCTTCATCTCTGTTGTTGTTGTAGTTGCAGTTCGCTTTAGTGCTGTTCGTGTGTGTGTGAGTGACTGTGGAAGTGTTTGTGTGTGTGGCAGTGTGTGTTTCGTATCCATTGTTTGTGTGTGCAAAACGTTTAAATGTTAATTTATTTTGTTTATCTCAATTGTTTCCCTGTTTCTTTATTTGCTAAGTATTTTTTATGTATTTTCTTTTTGTGTTTTCTGCTTGACTTTGCCTTTATTCTTTATTTGACGGCGCTCTAACATAAATATACTAAAATATCATTTTATGTACATATAAATATTTTTATTTTTTTTTAGTTTTTTTTTTTTTTACTTTAACTTAAGCCATTTTATGCTTTGCTCTAAGATTTTTTGTTTGTTTTTTATTCCTCTTTTTTAGTGTGCAATTCAGCTCATAGTTCTTTTTTTTTGGCTTCCTATTTGTGTTTTTTTTTTTCGCTTTAGTATTTTGTTGCTTTTGAAGCAATTTTTAATGTTTTTATTTTTAATATTTTTTTTTTTTTTTTTTTTTTTTTTAGCTTTTTGCCATGTTTTGTTTTTGTTGTTTAATGCTTGCCAAATTCTAATAGGTAACTGACTCCTGCTCTTTATTTTCTTTGTCAAATTGTTTTTGGTTTGCCAATTAACAACAGAAACCCGAATCGAGAAAGAAAAGATCTAAAACGTGATCAAAGTACAGTACACACAAAATACATACCAGTTAAATACCATAAATACCAAATGGTATTCATATCTTAGTTGTTACATATATATATATGTAGCTCTAAATATATATGTTTTTTTGTTTTAGTTGTTTTTTTTTTTTTTTTACATTTACATTTATATAAATTTCCGTTTCTTAGGCGCGAGCGACAAGAAAAGCCACAGAAAAACAGTTGGAAAAGAAATGGATCAATGCATGGTGCTAGTATATATACTGGTATGCGTTATGTAACACTAGTTTACTAGGTAATTAGTTTTGCTTTCTATTTTTTGTTTTCTGTTTTTATAGTATTTACACTTACACACACGAAAAAAAAAAAAAACAGATCTGTTTGCTGATTAGGGCTATCGCGACGTGACTGGTGGTACCTACAACTAGTTACAGTTATAGCTGAAGCTTTTGATATAACGCTATGTATGCTAAATATGTGTGTATGTATGCGTGGCACACACACACGACCCCAAACACACACATACACACATACACATAGTCTACATACATGTATGCATGTGCATATGCCTATGTATCTAGCTAGCAGTTGCTTAGGTCGGGTGCGGTGTTTGCCAAGTTCCATTAATGAATACAAACTAAACGTGTTATCGTTATCGCTATCGGCTAACGTCTATTGACTAACAGCTATCGGCTATCATTTATCATTTATCGTCTATCGTCTATCGTTAGTATTAGTTCTCTGTTTCGCTCACCTCTACCGCTTCATGATCTTCTTTCATATTTATTTTCTTAGTTTCAATTATGTTTTGCTTTTGTTTTCATTTTGTTTTTGGCCACGTTTGCAAAATTTTTAAAAAATTTCTTGTTTTGGGTTTTCGCTTTTGCAACTAATTCAGCAATTTTTCTCTTCCCTCTTTAGTTTTCCCTATGCCAAAACTATATTTGTTTTATTTCTCTTCTCTCTGCATTACTTAAGCGCTAAAAGATAAAAAAAAAAATTGTTTATTTTTATTTCGTATATATTTTTACAATATTTTATTCTAAGTAGTTATTCTTCTTTTTTTTTTTGCAATAAATTCGATAAGCACCAATTCATCAAAAAACGAAAAAATTCTTTCAAAATCAAAAACTTCAATCCAAATGAAAATTCAAACTCGTGTTGATGTCGCGAGTCAAAAAGATTTGCTCGAGCTTTATGGTTGGACGGAAAAAATGAACCAGCTGCGATGTGAAACGGATATCGGAAATCGGAATCGAATCTCGATTGAATTTTGTTGTTTTCTGTAGGGGTATTCCCATTATCTAATTGTTTAATACTGTGTTGTTTTTTTTTTTTTTTTTTTTAAAGTTTCATTTATTTATTTATACTTGTGTTTTTCGGTTTTTACTCGCAAAACTTAAAAATAATAACAAAACATTTTACATATCATAATATATTTAAGGCTAAAAGTTAGTTTAGGATGCAAAAAAAAAAAGTTTTTAATTTATAATCAATGTTTATGCATTAAGATTAAGATTAAATATTTTAATACTCCTCGCAATAATAAATTAATTAAATGTAGGCATAAAAAATAATTTTAAAAAGTATTTTAAGCAATTAATGATTTTTTTTTTGTTCATGTATGTAAAAGCTAAATTTGGAGTTTTTAAATTTTAGGTTTAAAATTGGATTTTCTTTTTAACAATTTTGCTTGGCCTGTTTTATTGGCGGCGTCGTTTTACAGTTACAATTACAGTTATAGTTATGGCGCATATATATGTTAAATATATATATATATATTTAATTTTTAGTTGAATATTCTTTCTTAGTTCTTATTTAGTTATTTATCCTTTTGTTTTCCATTTGTATACATACGAAGTAGGCTACAATGCATATAGCGTGAGCTTGTGTTCTCTTTTATTCTTCTTCTGGTTCTCCCTCTTCTATTTCTTCCGTACGTTGTCGTCTGTCTCCGTCTCCTTCTCTGTGTTTGGTCTAAACTTGGCTTAGATTAGCTACAGTTGTGACGACGCCTAAAACTATGCTTGCATTTCTTTTTGTTTTTTTGTTTTTAAATATATTTATATACACTTATGATGGATATACATATATAAGTCGCTAGATATATATGTATGTGTACACATCTAGTATTTTTTTCTTATGGGACATATAGCATATTTTTTGCCTCGACTTTCGCGTTCAACTTTTGCTCTGTATATATGTGTATGTGTGTGTGTGTGTATGTGTTTGTGTCTTGGTTGATTTTGTTTAAAACTATGCCAGTCTCAAAAAGCTCGAGTACCACAATTATATAACAAAAAAAAAAAAAAAAATTCCATCTTCATTTTTGTTGTTGTGTTTTTCTCTCGTAATATTTTATAGGTCTATGCCCTATATCATACTAAGATGCGACTGCAGCTGCGTCAAGTTTTCCTTATTGTGTGTGTGTTGGTGTATATGCATATACATATACATATTTGCCTATATATATATACGTGTGTGTATATATATTTAGTATTTTTCATGTATTTATTTATTATTATTTTTTTTTTTTTGGCGCTTCCATTAAATATATATAAATATTTGTATGAACTGCCATTCGCTTCGATATTTGCATATATGTATATATTGACCACATACACACGCACACATATACATCTACACACGCACACACATATACACCAATATATGCATGTATATATGCTATAGCTCTAATGGCATATCATATATATATAATATTTATCCTTTACTTTTTATGCATTTGCTCTGTCGCATTTCTAATCTCTAACGATTAATAATTATAAAAAAAAATTCTTGTTTAGCTTGGACTTAAAAAAAAATGAATTGATTAACATATTTGTATATATATATATATTTATAGTTTATTCTGTAGGCCTATTATTTAGTATTTAGTACAGTTGCGCCTTCTCTTTATCTCTATCTCATGCGATTCTCTGTCTCTGTCTCTGTTTCTGTCTCTGTCTCTGTTCCTTTGCTAACCCAGTGGCTATAATACTCGTATTTATGATAATTATAAATATTTAGTTATATTTAGTGGGCTTTCCTTGTGTTACTTCGTAGTTGGGAGGGGTTCCTAGGAGCTAACAGGCGACCGGCTCCGCATCTGGCGCCGCTTCGTGGTCGTCCGTGGACCAGCTGAGGCTGCGCCGCCGCCGCTGGGCATTGGAGACGCCGGCCGCACCGCCAGTGGCGCCCTTCTTCTTCACGAACTTGATGTTGTAGGGATCCTCGGCCAGCTCCGGGTAGAGCGCCACATCGTGTATATACTCACCCTCATAGTTGTTGGCATAGCTCTGCTTGAGTATCTCGTCGCTCTCCTGCTGGGTCCACTCGAGCGCGGTGGTTAGGCCGCTGCGCAGCGCCTCCTTCTCGCGGTGCCAGGCCTTGCGCACCGCCGTCAGCTTGGCGTGGTGCATCAGGCGCTGCTGCTCCTTGGCAACGGTGGTGCCGTATCGCAAATTGATGATCGCATGCGCCCCATGAATCTTGACGTCCAAGTAGTTGCCGCCAGATGAGCTGCCAGCGCCGGCACCACCGGCTGCTGCGCCCGCCCCACCGGCTGCCGTCGACTCGCGCGTGATCTCATGGAAGGTGGTGTTCACCTGACCCTGCAGACGCTTCAGCTGCTGGCGATCCTCGCTGGCGCGCCACGCATCCTCCTTGACAAAGAAGAACGAGTCCTGCTGGGCATTGTGCACCACAAAGGTGAACGGCAGCAGCTTGGACCGGTTGAAGACGCTCGTATAGACATCCCGATAGATGGCGTTCGCGGCCGGCACACTGGACACGATCGCCTGGCCGTCAGCGGTGCGCGACACCACAATGCCTTTGCCAAACGGCGGCTCCGTGTCGGAGCCAATGATCCGCGGCGAGGGGTCCATCACATCACACTTCAGGGCGGAGCGCGGTGGCGCCGACAGCTGCTCAAAGTCGGACATGCGACGGACGTTGAGATGGGCCAGGAAGCCGCTCTCGACGGCCATGGTGGGTATGTTGTCGAAGGGACGGCGCATGTTAAGCGCGATCGGATTGGTCGGCGGGCGGCCCCACAGCGCTGGGGGCTGCCACAAGTCCTTGGCCAGCTGCGGCATGAGGTTGCCCACGTTGTAGCCGAGGGTGCGCAGCCAGCTGGCAAAGTCAGCGGGATAGTGACGCTCCTGGCCCACATTGATGGGGTCGTTGCCATTGAAGCGATACAAATGGAGGCGCGTGGGCGTGATGATGCGCTCGGCGACTCGCTGCCAGTCGGGCGACATCCACTGGCCAATCAACGGATCATAGACCCGTCCATCGCCCATGTGCACAAGCGTCGTCACCTGGTCCAAAATGCCGCCACAGAAATCGATGGGCAAATACAGATATGGATTCGAATCGTAGACGATATGACCGAAGGGCGAACGCATTATCTCCCGAATGCCCTCGCCGTACTGATTGAAGAGCATCAGCGGGGTGCCGCTCTGGTCCGTGGCCACGTAGTACTTGTGCCTGTACACCTGGGCGTAGATCAGGTGGCCCACATCGTCGTAGGTCAGCGACATCAGCTTGCCATCGCGCGGCGAATAGATCTGCGATACCTCGTAGGGGCGCTGCTGATTCGTGTAGAAGAACTGCGTCACATTGCCGAAGTTATCCTTGCGCGTGGTCAAGCGCTTCAGATGATCATAGTAGTACCGGACATCGAACCGTCCGCGCTTCGAGGCACGCACCAAGAGACCCTGCGTATTGTAGTGGAAGCGCTCCTCCCGCGCATTCTGCGCCACCAAGCCCCTCGCGTCGTACTTGTACTGCCCCTCGCCGAACTTGACGATACGGTCCTGGGCATTGTACTCCATGGGTATGGTGTTGCCGCGGTACGTCAGCGATAGCAGATTGCCGTTGTCATCGTAGCGGAAGCCCCACGGCTCCTGCGCCTCGACGCCCACCAGCTGCCCATCGCAGTCCCACGTGTAGTTCTTCACATTCGTGTAGCTGTTGACGGCCATGTTGCGGGTGTAGGTGCGTGTCTGGGAGATGCGTCCGTGGACACCGTACGTGAACTCCATGCGGAACACCTCCAGCCGATGGATGGACAGGGCCATGCACTGCGTCTGGAAGCGACCGTCGACGGTGCGCGTAAAGCCAGCGGTGCCGTCGTGCAGCTGGGTCTGATTCAGCGCTGGCCGCGTGAACTTGAACTGGCCAATCAGGCTGGGCTGTCCGGTGCGTCTGTCGTACGCGTACGCCTGGCTGGGCAAGCTCTGCCCGCCGATACGGCCCTGGAGTGCCACCACGCGCAGCTGGCTGTCATATTCGTAGCTGAACTTGGCATTGCTCAGCCCCGTCTTGGCCACGTAGTCGATGCGCTCCTCGGTCAAGAGTCCCGCGGCGTACTCAAAGTCCCAGCGGTACTCCAGCTCCCGCTCGGCATGCGACACGGTGCTGGGCATGCCAGTGGCATCGTTGTACTGGAACTCGCTGCGTCCGTCGCCGTGCACCACCTCCGTCAGCTGGCCGGCTGCATTGTAGCGATAGACGATGCGAGCACCGTCCCCGGGCAATATGGTCTGTAGCAGAGCACCCGCATGGCTGTAGTGCTGCAGATAGGCGCGCGTGCTGCCCGGCGGCGTGTAGGTGCACCGAATGAAGCCGATCGAGGTCTGCATGCTGAAGCTGTGCCGTGTGCCCGACGGCAGGACGACATGCCTCAAGCCGCCGGCATCATCGTACTGCAGCACAAACTTACGCTGGCTGGCCAAGCCGATCTCCGAGACGAGGTTCCAGTCGTTGTACACGAAGCTGATGATGCCATCCTGCTGTGAGGTGATCTCCGAGAGCAGGCCGTGACGATCGTAGCTGTACTTCAGCTCAGCCGGTCCCCAGGCCCAGCCCTCGACACGATTGAAGCGATCGTAGGTGATGTTCACGGGATATCCATTCGTCGGATAGTACGACTTGGGCAAGCCGGACTGATCGTAGGCCACAATCAGTATGGGCGTGCGATTCGCATCGTAGAACGTCTCCCGATTGGTGAACTGATCGAACTCGACGCCAATGACACGCGACTGATTCACCCATATCTCGCGATTCAGCGTCTGCTGCGGATTGCGCACATCGCCGACCAGATTGTAGACGGAGTACATCGAATTGGTTAGGCCATCGCCCATGGTGACGCTCTGGTGCGACCACATGGCCAGCATTTCGGCCTCGACGGGCAGCGCCGCCTCCAGCAGGGGATGCCGAGCCACGGCCGAGGCCTCGACGACGACTCCATTGGCGCCGTGTATGACCAGCGTATTGTTGGCCTTCAGTTCGGCATCGGCGTGGGCGCGTCCGCGTTTCAGGAACGTTGAGCGTACGCCACCCAGCACCAGCAGCTCGTTGGCATTGCCGTCGCCGGCGGTGCCTACGCCGGACACGCGCTCCCGGGAGAAGAGCGATTCGACAGAGGCGTGCACATAGATCGTGAGTCCCTTGTTGTCCGCCAGCTGTGAGGTGATGCGCACGATCTCGCCGCTGGGCAGTATCATGCCCGTGACACGACCAAATTCATCGTACTGATAGATGTACGTCTCGCCGCCCGAGGAACGCGAGTTCAACAGACCCGTATTGCTGTCGTAGTCCAGCTCGATCTCCTGGCGCCCCTTCTCGCTCAGCTTGGTCATAATGCCGATACCATTGATCTGTATCTCCGACTTGTGATCCTGGGTATTCTCAATGGAGCTCACCACGTTGCTGTAGTCACGCAAGAACTGTATCTTATTGCCGGAGGCATCCGTCACTGTGGATAGGCGGCCAAAGCTCGTGTTCTTCGAGTAGAGGAAACTGTAGCGTGTCTTGCCCGATGTCAGATCCTTGGTGGCCACATGCTGGCCATATCGATTGAACACATAGATCTCACTGGACGGCGGGAACGGTATATGGAATTCGCCATTCTCATCGTGCGACGGCAAATAGTGCTCCAAGGCGAGCACATGCAGCGAACCTGCAAAGGGCAATGGGAAAGGTATTGCGTTATTTGACGAGTGTGAGAGGGGAGAAGATAAGGCTATCGTAGCAGAAGGCATTCTCTTAATACTTTCTCTCAATGTTAACTCAGCTAGGCTTTTGGCCTTTTTCGCTTGCTGTTTACGCCAATCTAGTTTGTTTTGAATCGATGGCAATATGCTTAACTTTCGATAGTTAACTATTAATCTATCGATACTTAACCTACAGTGCTTTTCAGTGTTGCCACCTTTTCAGCTGAATAAAAAAAGCTAAATCTAGCTGGAAATGCAACGAAAACAAGCTGTACATAGAGAAATGTCTATTTGTAAATTTTCGGAATTTTTTTTTGTATTTTTTTTAAATTTAACAATGGGCTAAGCTAGCTACCCTATGTACGTAGACACCCTAGCACGCCCAGTAGTCATATTTTCATTTTCTTTTCGCAGTTTTTCCTAGTTTTCTGCAATCATTTTCAGTGCTTTTCACACAGCATTTATATGGCATTGTGGACGAAATATGATAGCTATTGTGCGCTCACACAGGCAGCTGCCTGGACTCAACAATAAAACTCTATTGGTGCAATCCTTTAGCTTTACGGCATCTCAGTGCTGTTGTGCTTCAGTATTTGTGCAATATAAAATACCTTTCAAAATGGTCATTAAATGTGTCTTGCTATTGTAGGCCGTCTCACTCACTCTCACTCCCTCTCTCTCTCTCTTTCTTTCTTTCTTTTGACTGCATTTGCTTAAGCTAAACGCCAACTTCTTGCAGCTGTTTGCTTTTACAGAGCCCCCTCCACACAACGACTGCCCATAAAACGTTGCAAGTTTTAAAATCTCTGCACCAAAAAAATATGTGAGAGCAAGAGAGGGACAGTGCTGGAGTGAGAGAGAGAGAGAGAGAGAGAGAGAGAGGCAGAGAAGTGTCTGCCTGCCTTAAGTATTTTTGTGCAATTTGCTGGCTGTTGTTCCACAGTTGTTGCTGTTGTTGTTGCCGTTGCCGTTGCCTGTGCTGCGTTACATTTTAAGTTAGTGTTGGTAAATCGCTTTGGATTTGCATAAATTTGCTTGTTTTTGCCAGCTTTGCATGACAAACACCGACGACAACAGTTGACAACACTGACAGACAGAGACACAGACGAAATGTTGGCAATAAGTAGCTGCAGTTGCTTCCATTACTGCTGACAGCCACTGTAGTCTACTTTCATAACTCGCACCTATGCACAGACACACACACACATACATGCATACTCGCATATATGCATATACATACATATATTTTCATTGAATAGAAACTGTTTCAAGTGTAATGAGATATCCGACTGAAATATCGTCTGCATTTTGGGCAACTAACTCTTTTGCTTCTACTCACGACCATGGCAAATCATGAGCATATTCGATATGAGTGTGTGCAATAGAAATGAATTTTCCTCACTTTTCTCATTATCCATGAGCAATTCGAATTTACTTTATATATCAGGTGCCTGAACTGAAACTTTGATTGAAACTTTGATTCAATCAGCAGTCCTGGGAGTATATCTAGGAAGATGGGAATGAATGGGATGAATAAACGAAATAAATCATTTTATATATTATTTATTTTATTTATTTATTTTTGTTTCTTTATTTATTTATTTATTTACTATTTATTAATTATTATTTATTATTTATTATTTATTATTTATTATTTATTATTTATTATTTATTATTTATTATTTATTATTTATTATTTATTATTTATTATTTATTATTTATTATTTATTATTTATTATTTATTATTTATTATTTATTATTTATTATTTATTATTTATTATTTATTATTTATTATTTATTATTTATTATTTATTATTTATTATTTATTATTATTATTTATTTTATTAATTTCTTCCACTCAATTCCCTACCCATTTTCATTAAACCCTACTTCTTATACGCTAAACCCATTGAAAATTAGGAGTCAGGGCATTTGATTAGGTTGTCTTAAAGGCGTGGCAGACTCCATTAAGTATATATAGTTTTCAGCAGACTAAGCAGCTCAGTCGATTTAGCCTTTTCCGTTTGTCTGTCCGTCCTTCTATACGTTCGTCTGCCCGTCACTTTATCTCTCCGGCAGTCTACCTGTCCATCCGTCTATCCGTATATCCACATCAATCTCTATACCCACAAGAGCTAAGGTCTCGCAATTCCCTTCAGGGTAGCATCTAGTCGGACATACCCGGCTAGAGTTTTCTTGCTTGTTTAAGTGTATTAGAATTTTGTTTTTCCTTGCTCTAGCGCTATGAGCCGTACCACATGCCCAGCACTCACTCAATCCCATTCCCCCTTCCCCACTCCTCCTTCCACCTTCCACTTTTCCCCATTCCCGATGCCTGATTCCCATTTCCATTCGCATTCACATTAAAATGATAATCGCTCGCATATGACAATAAAATATTTAAGACGTTGTTTGGCTGTTCGTTTCCATTGTTGTTCTCATTGTTGTTGCTGTTGTTGTAGTAGTTGTTGTTGCTGTTGTCGGTGTTGATTTGATTGCGTTACAGTTCATTTACCCAGCGCGCTAGAAGAAGAGCCAAATAGTTCGGTAGCTGAGCTGAGTTGAACGGAGCTGAGCTCCGCCCGCTGTTGGCTGAGTATCCATTTTTGGGGTCACAATTTGGGACAAGTTTTCCATGTTTGCGGGCAAAGCAAAAACAGGAGCAACTGGGGGTAGGGGCAGAGAGAAGTAAGAGCTCAGCTGAGGTAGCTGGATTTTCAGGACGCAGGACATTGGCAGAGCGCCAAATGCTGTGGCGTCAACGATTGAGCGAATTTCAATGCAATGCAATTCGCTCCACTGGATGTAGCGAGGGCGTGCCCCATCCCCTGCGTGCGTGTGAGTGTTGGTGTTGGTGTGTGTGTGTCTGTGTGTGTGTATAATGTAATGTAATGTAATGGTAATGACCCCATAAAGTGAACAACTTGTTTGTGCTCGTCGCTGTGCCAAAGGGCTGGCTGCCAGTCAGTCGCCTCGCTCTGCCCCCACTCTCTCTCACTCTCATTCCCCCTCTCTTTCTCTGGCTGTGCAAAAAGGGGTTCTTGTGCTCACGCCCACATGCTCAGCATGTATCGGTTTTTGTGGGTCTATTGGTCTATCGGTTTGTCGTTCAGTCGCTCACTCGTTCAGCTTCACTGATTTTAAGCTGTTTTTCTAGCTGGCATATGCGACAGCGCACAAGTGTTGCCAATATTCATTCAAATGGAATTTAAATGCATTTGCGCTATCTACCTTCTTCTTCTTCTTCTTCTTCTACTACTACTTTGTGTGCTTGCTGTGCCAGTCGGAGGTCGGCTAAGAATAAATTCTTGTTGCTTAGTTACAGTTAGTTAGGGCCATTCAAATGTGAATGCAGCCTGAATGGCAAAACGTTTACGAATGCAGCACAAAGAGGAGACAATGAAAAGTGCGCAACAGCAAAAGAGAAGAAAGTGGGGAGAAGCATAGCAGTCTGTAACTGTAAATAGTTACGAATGCTGCATACAGAGAAACTATTGCATTTTAAAGAGAGATGGAGAGAGAGAGAGGCTGAGAGAGATAGATAGAGAGGGAGAGACCGATAGATAGATAGATAGAAAAGTAGATTGTGCTATCAAAAGTTCCACCATACATATATTGCTAGCCGAGCGGAGTGCAATTCAGGGTTGCCACCTTTTCCATAGTTTCTCATTTCAACTTTTTATAGCTTATGAAACTCAATTTTAATGAGTTTTTCTTTTTAATTAAGGGCCAAGTATCGACTACTCCTGCTCTCACACATTCTCTCACACTCGCTCGTGGGCGATTAATGAGTTTGGGCTACAACTTTTCTGATTATTCCCAGCTACCCCTCAGCTGCTCTCAGCGTTGCCAGCTCGCTCATTGATCAGCTTTTGCGTTGTCATTTGCTCCAATTCGCAGTGTCTAAGCCGGGCCGCTGCTCTCTCCCTAGCCCAGAGGGTTGGGCTTTTCCTATGCTAGTCGCAACGCATTTAACGCAACAATTTTTCACACACACTCGACTACACTGTGCAAAATAATCAACTAACTTGGAGAGCACTAATTATAGCTAAATGAAATTTTGTATCAGAATGTAGTCTGCTTATATATGTATATATACACTATACCTATATATACACTATCTATCTATATCCCTTTATCTACATCACCTTTTCGCTCAGTGTAGCTTCTTGCATTGGCACTTAAGCTATAAGCTTTTAATGAAGCTTATTTACGTTTTGCTCGGTCTAACAAAAACCTCCAACGCTTGCCCCCTTCACATGTTTTACTACCGACTGTCTTCTACACACACACACACACACATACAGAGATACACACTCACACACACATTGCGCTTTTGATTAATGCAGGCTCATAGCTTTCAGCTGGGCGTGGAATGGGGGTTTGGGGCTCGGCTCGAGGTTTTGCTTTCGCTTCGCATTACAAGCGCCAATTCGCCGCGTAGGTAATAAGATTGATTTTCACTTTTTCGCTTTTGGCCAAAACCAGACCAGATCCCACTCTAGGCTCCGCTGCCTGCCTGCCACTCTGCTCCCCCCCCCTCTCTAGGCAATCACTCACACGTGGAGACTCTGTCTTTCCATTTCCGGCGCGACTAAAACTTGATTAATTATAGTCATTGATTTGCTTTCCACGGCTGGCACTGCTGATACTCCTGCTGCTTCTCCTGCTCTTGCTACTTCTGCTCCTGCTACCCCTGCTGCTGTTACTGCTTCTTCTTCTTCTATTTATTTCTACTTTTACTTTTGCTGCTTACTGCTGCTGCTGCTGTTTCTACGTCCTGCCCTTCATTAATTTGTTTTGCGTTGTCAAGTGTCCGCAACCCCCTCGCCGACCAGCCCTTTTGCCCTTTCTTTTCACTCTCTTCCTCTTGTTTTATTTTTTTTTTTTTTTTACCGTGTGCAGTGAACATCGTTAGCGTCGCGTCGCTTTAGCTCTTCGTCTTGGCCCATTGTCGAAATTTATTAATTACATTTTTGGTCTTATCAAATTACGTTTTGTTAATGCACTCAAATTTATACCTTTGCCAGGCCCAGCCCCAGAACGAACGACCGACCCACTTGATCCAGCTACCACTACTCTCTCTCTCTCTCTCTCCTTCTCTCCTTTCTCTTCCTTCGCCTTTCTTGTTGTTTTTTGAGCTTTTGCTTTTCGGCTCTGTGGCTCTGCCAGCACTTTGGGCTTCATCTTATTTATTGGCGGCCATTTTGTTAAAGCTTCCTCTTCGTCTAACTGTGCTACCTGCTGTGCAGGTGTGTGTGTGTGTGTGTGTGTGTGAGTGTGTGTGCATGGTTGTATGTGTGCGTATTTCGTCCTAATTTGTCCTCGTTCGAATTGTGACGGAAATTGGTTTCGTTTTTTATTTCTTCTTGCGCTTGACTGTTGCCCCCGCTAGTGTTCCTCTCTCACACTCTCTCTCTCTCTCTCTCTCTCTCTGTCTCTTGCATCGCACACTTCTACATTTCATTTCCCGCTCAATGCTTTTGCCATAATGGCCAATTACAGCGACAACAACAACCACAGCTGTGACAACTGTTTCCAGTTGTTGTTGCTGTTGTTGTAGTTGTTGTTATCCTTATTATTATTATTATTATTATTGTCATTGTTGTCATTGTCGTACGACCTGTGTTCTTGTTGTTGTTGCGTTTTGTGTTTTGCAATATGTCGCAAATTTCACTTCCGCTTTTAACAAATGCTACCTGTCTCACTCACACACTCTCTCCTTCTCTCTCTTTCTGCTTCTCTCACGCCTTCTTGAATTTCTTTTGCTCTTCATATTGATAACACAGCATGAAAAATCTGAAGCAAAAGCAAATGAAAGAAAATAAAATACGATCTAAATTTGTGCAAAAAGGAAATGTAACAAAGTGTGCGCGAGTGTGTGTGTGTGTGTGAGTGCTCTTATGTGTGTGTGTGTGCGTGTGTGTGTATTATTTGCAGTTGACAAATTTCTATTTAGAGCACATGGCAGATGGGCAGCTGCCACGCCCACGACCAACCGCCCACTCGCATCTCTGACGGCCCACTTAAAGTGCGTGCGCCAAGTGCTGCATGAATATTCATTCGAATAATTGAATGTATTCATTTGGAATTGACAGCTAGCAAATGAATGCGCATTTGCGTTTATTAGCCGCGATTATTCAGCACGCTAACTGATTACATCAACATTTCGTTTGCGGTCAATTGGGCGATTCCGCTCGAAAGTCAATCGGAAATATAGATTTTTTTTTTAAATTTATTTGAAAGTTTTTCTATTTAGCCACCAGAGAAGCTCAATAAGTTATCTGAACTTATCGCAATGCAAAATCATAAATTAGGCTAGCGAATTCCATTAGAATTCAATTGCACTTATCACATTGCTTCTCACTTTTTTACTGAACTTTGTTTGTATTCCAACTTATCCTAACGCTGCTCGCTTCTCACTTTCTTTGCTTAGCCTCATTATGTTGGCTTCTTTTCAGTTCATATTTAATTTATCTCTCTGTTTATATTGCAACTTATCTTAACATTGCTCGCTTCTCACTTTCTCTGCCCAGTTTAATTATGTTCATTGCGGAAAGCTTTTCGCTTCTGCTCAGTTTATAGTTTAGAGATTCTCTTTTTTATGAATTCTCTTTATATTCCAACTTATTACAGTGCTGCTCGCTTCTCTCTCGCTTCTTCTAAGTTTACTTTTTGCATTTCTTTATATATAATTTCCTTATTTCTATATTTATACCAATACTAGATTACTAAATTCTATGAATTAATATGATGCTCGTTTTTTTTTCCACTTATCCTCTGCTTCTATTTCTTATTACTCTCTCTCTCTCTCTCTCTCTCTTTCTCTCTCTCTCTCTCTCTCTCTCTCTCTCTCTCTCTCTCTCTCCAACTTATTACTCATTTTGGATCTAGCTTCTTCTAGCTTGATATTTAGCTTCTCTCTTCATTCTCTGCTTAGTCTAATCTCTTAGTACCCTTTACAAAATGCCTCTCTCTACATCAAAGCTTATCCTGTGCTTCTCTCTTCACCCATGCGAGCTCTCCTTATAAGTACAGCTTGCTTCTTGCTCTACCAGCTCATGGCTTAGCTTAGACTTAGATTCTTTCAGCTGAAGCCTCTAACTCTAAGCCTTACTTCTCGCTTGTGTTCTACCCATGTATTCCTGACTTCTTCTCTAGCTATGTTTCTCTCTTTAATGGTTAACTCCACCCAGTTCTCTCCCTCCAGTTCTTTCCTTCCACGCTGAGCACCGTCATCTCTCACTTCTATTTTCACTTAACTCTAGCTATAATTCAGTTGCTGTACTCACCTTGATCGGCCACATTGATGACACCGTCCTGGGCCACTGCGATGGCCGAGATGGCCTGGAAGCGGGCGTTCGAGGAGAGCAGCGTCTCGGCGTTGCTCAGGGTGCCGTCGTCGTTTAGGGTAGCGCCCAGGCCCAGATTGGAGCCGGCGCCGCCAGCCGTTGTCTTGGCGCCCAGCAGCACTGTTGTGGTTGTGGTGGGGCCGGTGGACATTAGGCTGCCGCCGGCCACAATGCCGGCAAGTGTGCCCGAGTTGCTGCCGGAGATGCTGCCGCCGGGGCAGACGCAGACGCCGCTGCTGTTCAGGACGCCAGCGCCGCTGCCGGTGCCGCTGCTGCCGGCGCTGCCAGCGGCCGAGCTGCCATTATTTCCGTTTCCGCCAGCTGGTGTCGTCGGCGTCGTGCCGCCATTATTGCGTGTCGGATTCACGGTCGTTGAGTAGGCGCCTCCACTGGCCACGCCCAGTCCGGCGGCCGCCGAGCCATTGCTGCCATTTCCAATGGCACAGTCGCAGGTCTGAGTGCTGTGGCAAGAACCAAAGAGGAAGAGATGCCAAGAGCATTGCGAAAGCGTTAGTAATGTAACAGGAAATGCTTAGACCCTTAAGCCAGCCACCCACACCACCCACACCACCCAAGCCACCCAAGCCGAACCCACACCATCCACATAAAACCGTCGTCCATTCACCCAACCGCCGTTATCTGTGGCGCAGGCATCGTTTACATGTCGCTGCCACGCCCCCGCAGCCGGCACACAGACAGCGGGACACACAGCGTGTGGTGCTGCCCAGGGTGGTGCCGGTGCTGAGGCGCTTTGTAACCCGACGCGTATTTATGATGACATTGTTTGTTCGATAAACATTTTAAAGTAAAGTGCAGACAACGCAAACCTGACCCAATGCCTCGCTCCATTCGGACCCATTCCTTCACTTCTCCCATCCCCCCCCCTCCCTCCGCTCCAACCGCTCCCTTGAGCTTCTGTCGTGCTCGCTTATCGCGCTCCGGCCACGCCCACTTGAAATGTACGCCCCCGGTAGGGCTGGTGGCTGCTTCTGGCTGTGTGCAGTAGCTACTAAATAAAAAGGTTGATTTATAGTTTCTGTCGTTGGCTCCGGCCGGCGTTTGCGGTGTCTGCTAATTACTTTTGCCACGTCTGCCCCAGCCACGCCCACTTTTCAAAGAGAATGGGACAGCTGCTGCTGCTGTACAATAGCTGAACCCTTTAATGCCATGCAGTCGCGCTCAGACCCTCGATCAGGTCTGTCCATCAAAACAAGCGTCGGAATGGAATTCTATTAGATTAAATAAACTGCCAGCTGCATAAAGTTGCACACACTTGTGTGTGTGCGGGTGTGTGTGCGGGTGTGTGTGTGCGGGTGTGTGAAGTATGCCATATTTATGGCAGACACCCAACCTTCTGCCGTGTGCCGCGGCACCTACTGCGTGGCTCTGGGCAGCCGCAAACTAATCAGCGAAACAAATTAATTAGTTTACTTTGTTCAATGTTGTGCGGTTCTGAGCGAGAGGGAGAGAGAGCGAGAGCGAGAGAGAGAGGGAGAGAAAGCAAGAGAGTGGGATAGAGAAAAAACGCTCAGTGGAGAGCATATGCAATATTTCAGATTTCAGCTAGGATTTCTTTTTTTAGTTTTCTCTCTCTATTGCCTCTCTCTCTCTCCTACCTTATCTACTCTCAATCTCTCTTAGAGATCCTAGTTCCATTGAGTGTTTACTGTACCTCAATAGGCAATCAAATCTCACGTTCTTCCAGTTTGCTCTTTTTGCTCTTAATTTGAATTTCGTTCGTTTTGCAACACTGTTTTTTCTCTTATGCAACACTGAATGCAAGTTTGTTCTTTTTTACAGCTTTCTTTTTACCTAATACAACTTTCGTCTTATTATAGCAACTACAGTTTTTTTTTCTCTTACATTATGAGTTGTTAACCAACACTGTTTTATAAGTATAAGCTCAATGATACATTAGGCACTTTTTGTAAGGTTTCTCAAGTACTAAGCAAACTTTTGGCGACTGCTTCTTTATTCTCTTGCCTACGTTATGCAACACATAAAACCAATTTTGTCTGCTATAAAATCATCTCATTGTTTCTGATTTCTGAACGTGTTACAGCACTGCTTTCTCTTAATTGCTGCCACTTGCAGCATTCGTTTTGTTGGCTCTGCAGGCTGCTCATTAATTCTCAAGCACCTTGCAACACTGCTCAATTAGAACTCATTTCGTTTTCCAGGGCGTTTCGGCTGCTTTCCACTTGCCAACTCAATTCCATTCAATTCGATTCAATGCGTTGGCCAACACTGCACGTGGCACAAAATGCAAATATGCTCGTTGGCTGTGTGACACACTAGCACACTAATACACACACACACACATGCACACACACATGTCCAGCAATTCCCAAATGCCAAAATTCCAATTAATTTTTTGGTCACTGTTTTTGATGCTTTAAAGAAGATTTAATCAAGTCAAATAAAGTCAACTGTGCAGCACCATTTATCGATTGGCCTCGAATGAGCACACACACACACACACACACACACATGCATGTATGCATATGTATGTGTGCATATATGCTGTGCATATAACTGTAGCACTAGCCTAGCTGCATTGACATTTATTGGCCGAGTTTTGGTTGCACTTGCAGCAAATTTTATGCAAGTGCAGCTGAAAAACATGTATACCCTGCTTGTCATCCAAGTGGTTAGTGGGGTGTACTTGCCATAGGCATTAGATTTATGGAGCTGCTAACAGCTGAAAGTTTAATCGAAAACTCAATTCCTTCATCGATATTTTTGTATAGGAATTTAAGATTGGTTTAAGCCTTCGATTTATCTATACCCGATCTATGCTTCCATGGGTTTCTCTCTCAATTTATCGATATATATCGATGATATATGTATGTATATGCCCAGTCTAGCTAGCGTCTGGCTCTTTCATTTCTGTTTACCCACAAATCGTTTGCATCGCCCACTCTACAGGGTATCCGTCAGTCGCGCCGTCTACGTTTCCAGCCTGTCTGTTTTTATTTATGCCCCTCTAGAGATATCGCTTTTTGGCAAAATGCAAATGGCCAAAAAGCGTTCGAGCCGTCAGATAATTGGGTCAAATATGCGCATAAACAAGTTGCGAGTCCCCAATGGACGCCAGCATCGAACGGGCCGAGTGCGGAGTACGGACGGTGCTATGGGTATTGGTGTTGGTGTTGGTGTTGGTGTTGGTGTTGGTGTTGGCTCACTCTGCATTGATTACTCACCCGGTGCCCTCCTGTTTGCCAGCAAAGTAACGCATATTGCCAGCGGTGTCGACGACGCGTATCGAATTGATGCGCCTCGAATCGCTGTCCGCAATGTAGAGATCGCCGAAGGGTGAGAAGGCCATGGCCAGGACGGTGCCGAGGACATTGTCGGTGGCCGTTTTGTTGACGCGATTGTCCGGCCCGTTGTTGCTGCAGTGCAGCGGCGTGCCAGCCACGACGCGTATCTTCATGTCCGACGTGAGGCGCAGCACGAGCCGATCGTCGATGAAGTGAAGCGAGCCGTCGAGCGGACTCAGTGCCAGGCCAGTGGGCCACTGCAGTTGCGCCTGATTGGCCATCAGGGTGCCCGAGCAGGGCGCCGGACTCCAGTGATTGTGATGGCCATGATGGCCAATGAGCGTGTGGATGACGCCCTTGGGATCCACGGCGCGTATGTTGGTGCCGTCGGCAATGTACATGGTGCGATCGGCGGCAATGGCCAGGCCCTTGGGATGGGAGAGGCGCGCCTGCAGGGCCGGGCCGCCGTCGCCGCAGTTGCCCTCGTCGCCGGGAATGCAACGCTGGCCGCTGCCCACAACGGGCTCACTGTTGATGCTCGGATCCTTGACCTTCTCGAGCCGTAGCAGGCGCAGTATCTGATGCCTTTCCGGGTCCGAAATGTACAGGTGTCCGTCGGCCGGCGATACGGCCAAATAGTACTGATACGAGACTTGGGTAGCGCTCAGCTGGAGTATGGTGAAGACCTTGCCGTCGGGCGTGATGCGACGCACCAGATTGAAGTCGCCCACATAGAGACTGCCGTCGGGTCCCGTGGCCAGGGCGATCGGTGTCAGCAGCTTGGCATCCTTGGCCACGCCGTTGCAATAGTCCGGACAGTTGAGCGGACGCTGCAGGCCGGTGCCCATGACGACCTTGACGGTGCGCGGATACTCCTTCATGTGGAGCGTGGAGCCGTCGCCCTTCTGCAGTATGCCCTCATGGAAATTGTAATGATGGTGGATGTCCAGGCCCCAGCCACCGATGTCAGAGATGTCCACATCGTAGCCCTGCAGCTTCGCAGTCTGCGTTATCCAAACCGGAGTCAGGCACGTGCTGTGCTGATAGCCGACGGAGATGCGGGCGATGGTCACGCCGTAGACCTTCTGCCGGTAGACGTTGCGCTTGTTCCAGGCAAACGTATGAATCAAGTTCGGATCCGCCTCGTAGGTCTTCACGTGCAGTGCGCCCTCGATCTCCACGCCCACGTGCACATGGGTCAGCGTCTTGGGTATTATCTCCGAGGTCAGGCGCATGCGCACAATGCTCAAATAGCCGGAGGCTTGCGACGATTGGTATGTGAGATGCAGGTCGGAGCCGGGTATTTGAATCGATTCCTGGACAATCTGTGAACGGAAAAGTTAAAGATTCATGATGGGTTAGTGTTGGAAAGTGACCAAAGCTGAATGTCTATGAGCGGGTAAGACATTAGTTATAGTAAAGTCTGAGTAGGGAGGGTAGATGCGATAGCGAATAAATGGAAAGAATAAATAAAAGACAAGAGTGTTGCACAGTCATAGTGAATTAGTGTTGGAAAGTGGCAAAAGCTAAGTACTCATTAGGGACAGTTAAGGCATAGGGCGAGATATGGCCGAAGATGGATAAAAGTGAAAATGAGTGACTAAAAGAAAAAAGTTGGAAAATCCTAGTGTGCTAGTGTTGGAAAGTGAACAAAATTGATTGAGTGTGCTATGAGTGGAAGGTATAAGATACAGAGATAGATAGATAGATAGATAGAGAGGTGGAGAGAGAGAAAGAGAGAAAGTGCCACTAAAGTGCAGTGTTGAGCAATGCTTTAAGCTGCAGGGAGGGGAGCTTGTAAAATTGACTGCAAAATGCAGGCAATCAAGAATTATTGTCAAAGTGGAAAGAGCGAGAGGCAGAAGAGGTAGGTCAAAGCGAAAGGAAAATGGAGGCAATCAGGGCCGGGGTGGGCGGGTCTTTGAGAGCACTATAATTGTCGCTGCCTCTAAGTGAGTTAGTTATTAGCCTTGCGGTCGGGTCGCTGGCTCGCTGCGTGGAGCGCAGCTGGAGCACAAGGCATAATGCAGCAATTAAACGTAATGCTCAGCTCTCTCAGTCAGTTTCTCTCTCGCTCTCTCTCTCTCTCTGGCTCTCTCTGTCCCTCTCTGCTTGTGCTTGGCTCGTTGCAAAGTTATAATGTCATTAAGGCGAACTTTAAATTAATTAAAACTACGCAGCGTCCAGCTGTTGCCCGCTGCACGGCCCGCTAATTAGGAGTGGCATTAGAGAGGATGAGCCCAGCCCAATGGCAAGCAGGTTGGCTAGAGGCAAGAGTAAGGGTAGGGGACCAAGACGCTAAGGGGCTAAGGGACTATTCAGCTCACCTGAGTCTCGGCAAAGATGACGCGCTTGCCGGGCATCGCGCCCACGCCGTTCGGCATCCAAGTGCTAATCAGCTGGGGCTTCAGCTTCTCGTGATCGTGATCCATGCAGACTTTGCTCGCATCGTTCGCCTCGTCCGCCGTGTGATAGTGTATGGAGTTGAGGAATGTCAGCGCCGGATTCAATGGAGCCACTCTGTGGAAAGCAAACAATCGAATTGGCATTAATTCAAAGTCCATAGAGCATATATCAGTCGGATTTGTATATGAAGCTATCGCTGCTGATCTCTTACTTGATATTGCGACTCGTCGTCTCATCGTCGTCGCTCAGCTGCATCTGGACGGGGGGCAGCACCACGATGCGATTCCAGGGCACGAAGACGGTGCGGGTCAGTGGACGGAATGGCGAACGTTGGAACTGTAAGGTGACAGCGCCGCCGCCATTAACCAAAACGTCAAACCTGCAAGAGAGAGTGAGAGAGAGAGAGACAGAGTGAGAGCAAGAATAAAACAAGTGCAACAACAAATTTCACGGCACAAAACATGCAAATTAATATTTTAATAAAGTTTTGGGATGCGTTTAACGCACGAGTAGACAGACAGCCCACAATATTCAAGGCCTACCCCCCTCACCCCACATCCCACACCCCACATCCCACCCACAACTCTGAGCAGCGCCCGCTGAGCAGATAATACCTCAATTGTTTGTCGAAATTGAAAAACTTTAGGATTTGTGTTGGGGCAACAACAGCAGCAACAACAACAACAGCAGATGGCAGCGACAACAATTGCTAGAGCATAAGTTAAGACCTCAGTCAGCTGTGGCCCAACCCTTAAGCCACGCCCACCCCAGTCACACACAGCCAGCCCACTCATCGAGACGCCCGCTTTTAGCCGCATTAAATATAATGATGGCGATTGCGTTCGGGCCGCCTTCTCATTATTGCGAGTATTTTTCGCATTGGCGTACGAAAAGTTGCAAAAACTTCGACCAGGCAATAGCTAGCTAGCAGAAGAAGAAGCAGCAGTAGAAGCAGCAGCAGCAGCAGTGTTGGAAAACAAAGGCCAGCAGCAGCAACAGCAACAACAAGGCGTGGCCAGTGGCGCAGAAAGCTTAAGAAATGGCAAAACTTTTGCTTTGGAAATATTTAATTAATGTGATTTTTAATTGTGTTTGTATGAAGCAGCAGCAGCAGCAGCTGCTAAAAGAGACGGCAAATCAGAGTGAGAGCGAGAGAGAGCGAGTGAGAGACACGAAGCGATTTGTGGCAAAGTCTAGGCTATATCCATTACAGCCGCGCCCACTTTCACAATAACATATGTTATACGGAAACAGAAAAAAATAATTAAAATTAAATGGCAACTAAAAAAAACAAAAAACGAGAATAATTACATTACATTTCACAATAAACAAAGGCAAAAGCCACATTTGAAAACAATTCGATAAATAAGCATAAAAACAAATGAAACAAACCGTGAAAAGGGCGTGATATACGACTCAAAGATGCCCTGTGAACATAGACAAATGTGGCTAAATATGCTAATAAATCAAATGATCATTTGAATTATCATTTAAATAATTTAAATCGGGTTGCTGCCATTTTGATCATATTCTGATCTAATTTGTCACCTTTACAATTGCGGCCATTTTGCAGTTTCCAATCTACTGAAGAATGTCGTCTTTTACTCACATTCTATTCGCCCAGTGCCTAGCCTAACCACTGCCTATATAGCCATCTCGCTCACTCATTGAGTTTCTAGTCGCAGTCTCTGCGTCCAATGGACACTCAATGCAAGCAAATTCAAAGACTCATAAGCAGCTATCTCGCTCTCTCGCTCAGCAACAGCGCAGACTATGTTCAGCAACAGCTATATTTGTCTCGCTCTTTTGCACTCTCTTGGTAAGACAATGAGAGGCATACAAACTGAATCGTATAAGAATTTTGCATTTCCAACTAGACAAGCTCTCAGCCGCACACTAATACTGCTGTAATCTAATTGGTATGAATTGGGAAACTTGTGAAACAGACTGGAACTCAGCTTTTATAAAATTTTAAATATTGATAATTTGTATATGCTTTTGTATTAAATAAATATATAATTTAAAAAGCCTTAAATATATACACAATCTAATATTTATTATATTTAAAAATAACAAAAATATTCTAACAATCAATATGCCCCACTGTTCGGCAAACAGTTGTTGCTAAAGGGTATAGCATTAAATATTTGTTAAAATTTTTGCTAATTTAATTTAATTGTTGTCACGCTTAAAAAGAGTTACAATTGCCGTTATTGTTATGACAATTGTTGCTGCTGCCTTTGTTGTTGTTGTTGATGGTGGTGCTGCTGGTGGTGCTGCTGGGGGTGTTCGGGCATTCATACTCGCGACGCACACAAATGCAATTTACAACTTTTATAATATGTGGCTAAAAATGCCAACAATAATCCCCAACAGCACAATATAATGACTTTTATTACCTTTATTACTACTCGGGCAGACAACAACAACAATAGCAACAGCAACAGCAACAGCAACAACAACAGCAACAATCAACAATGCATGTCAAAGGACGACAGCAACAATGGCAAACCAGCAACAGGACAGCAAATGAAGCAAAGCAACAAAAAATGAAAGTCGAAAAAAAAGAAAGGAACAGCTCACTTTTGAATACAGCAATCGGGCGTAATCAACAGCTGAATACACGCTCAATTAGAAATAAATGCTGAGTCACAAAAAAGGAAGTCAATAGTGATACATATCCCAGCTTTAAAGTTGAGGCATTTATATGCCTGCTAGCCATGGCTCAGAAGGGTATATCAGCTGGATCATCTCTCACAGAGATCTTCTATTGCTGGTCTGTAAATGTAGCAGAGCTTTGCTAGCTATAGTTTTTCTACCTCGAGAATATTTGCTATACTCTCAACTCTTACAGCATGCGAAAAAATACCCAAAGCCAATCAACTCTCATTTCGTAATGTGAACGAGCATAAACAGCAAAGAACATACAAATTAAGCAAACTAAAAAAAAAAAATAAAGCAAGAAAAACAACGACAGGAGAACAAGCCAAAAGAACAGCGAGAAACGAGTAAAATAAACATGATGCGACTGAAGCGATACCCTGGAAAACAGCTAGACAAGTATGAAGCAAACTGAGAAGCCAAAGAGAAGCTAAATATCAAAGCAAGATGCAAAGGCAGGCGAAAGAGTAGAGCTGAGAGAAGCGAGAAGCGCTTGGGAGCAAAGCAAGAGAATCGCGAGAGACGTAAGAAAGAAGCAGACTGAAGAAGCAAATGTGAGAAGCAAAAGCAAATGTATTAAATAGAGAATACAAATCGAAATTTCTCTCTCTCTCTCTCTCTCTCTCTCTCTCACACACACTCTACTGGGCATAGTGCATACAACTTACAGAATATGTAGTAGTGGGGAGTGCCCAACTAGCAGATATTCCAAAGTTCCCACCGATCCGCAGCTAAATATTTCCATCATTATCGATAAGGAAATGGAATAAACTATCGATATCAGCTAAGCTCATCGTAGCTTTATGGGCTCTGCCACGCCCTCTACTGCCCCACAAAATACATTTTCCTTAAGCGCATATACCCTGCATATACCCATGTTCAATGTTGAGGTTCGGGGTATAAAAATGGAGCACAGCATGTGTGTGAGTCTAAGTGTGTGTGCGTGTGTGTGTGTGTGTTTGGCAAGCTTAATAAGAGCATAAAATTGAAATAAACATTATAAATACAAAGCCATAAAAGCAAACTCGCGCGAACATTAAGAGTAACAGCTACAACAACAACAACAACAACAACAAGAACAACAACAACAACAACAACAACAGCAACAGCAGCAGCAGAAGGGAAAAAAACAGCGAGTGAACATTAACAACAAGCAACAGTGGCGCCGAAAAGTATGTGTTACATATGTAAGTAGGTAGCACACATATGCGTGTGTGCGTGTGTGTTTGTGTGTGAGTGTTGCTCGTTAAGTTGCTAAGCCAAAGGAGAAAAGAAGAAGAAAAGCTGCAAAACATGGCTCGGACGGAGTAGAGCTGGCAGGCAAAGTTCTGTATGTATGCGCACACAGTGAGCAACAAAACTATACGCATAATTCATACTAATAAGCTGCACGACAAATTGAAAGATATTCTGGGGAAAATACTGAAATTCCTTTGAACTAACTGTAAGCTCTGAGAGGGTATATCTGTGCGCCTATTGAGGCGAGGTATATCTGGATTCCTAAAAGTTTCACTCTTTTCCATACCACAGTTAATTCTGGGAAAATAGATATATGAATCGAGATTCATATATGCCTATATGTCTTTCAAAGTGTAGTATATTCTAGGTGTATGTATATTTCTTATTCGCAAATTTTATATATTATATCTTGACTCATATAAGTTTCTCTCTTTTTTATACCATAGTTAATTCTGGGAACTTGAATATCATATCTCGATAAACATATGTATTTCAAATTGTAATATAGTCTAGGTATATGTATATATCTCGACTCATTGTAAGTTTCTCTGTTTTCCATACAATACTTTATTCCAGGAATCATTTTTCGTTTCATATATTCTATCTCGATTCCTATAAATCTCTGTCTATTCCGAAATGTAGTATATTCTAGGAATCGTTTCTTATTTCATTGATTCTCATTGAAAGACATATTTATATTATATCTCGATTCCTATAAGCTTCTCGCTCCTGAACACACATTGGAGTTTTTTCTAGGAATCATTTTACACTTCATATCATTTTAGTAATATATTACATCTGAATTCCTATAAGTTTCTCGTTCCATTTACATTTTATACTTCATATGTATGAGTTGAGGTTCCTTCAGACTACTTGGAAATGCTCATTGAATGAGAGGGATATCTGATAGCAAATATATTTCAATTCTGTAAGTTTATTTCTCTCAATTCATTTGGCTGACTTATTTTAGAAATAACTTTCGTTCTGATGATAATTGCAGCAAATACTAGACTTAAAATTTATGTAACTCATCTATAATAATGAGGAAATAGTGAGAAGGCCCATGAGTTGATAAGTTTCTACTAGTTTCTCTCGTATCAATTTCTTGTATTTTCGTTTGTTTCTTCATTTCATTTGGGCGAACACAAAACTGAATTTGAGCAGCATTATGCGATAAGATAAGCAAAGCCGGACCCATAGGTCTAAGCTTCTCTCTTTTCACATGCTTTACTCCAATTGAATGGTTGCTCATCTCTTGCACTCTTTTGTTTGTTTTTCATTTCTTATCTGGCTTTGTGTTACATTTCCTTCAATATATCATTCAATCCTTTTATATTCTTTGCTTCTCTCTCTCTCTCTTTCTCTCTCTCTCTCTCTCTATCTCTCTCTCTCTCCCTCTCTCTGCTCTCTTGGCTTTGCTTTGCTTTCTCGCCAGCGTCAGCTAGCAGCAAATGAGGTCAACTGCTTGCACGTACACTA